CCCAGGCACTGCCTTCTCCATCGACTCCCTGATCGGGCCACCGCCGCCGCGCTCTGGCCACTTGCTCTACACCGGCTACCCCATGTTCATGCCCTACCGGCCCCTAGTGCTGCCGCAGGCGCTAGCCCCTGCGCCGCTGCCAGCCGGCCTCCCACCCCTTGCCCCGCTAGCTTCCTTTGCTGGCCGTCTTACCAACACCTTCTGCACTGGGCTGGGGCAGGCTGTGCCCTCGATGGTGGCGCTGACCACCGCACTGCCCAGCTTTGCGGAGCCTCCGGATGCCTTCTACGGGCCCCCTGAGCTCGCAGCCGCTGCTGCCGCCGCCGCCGCTGCCGCCACCACGGCTGCCCGAAACAACCCTGAGCCGGGCGGTCGACGCCCAGAGGGTAGACTGGAAGCCGAGGAGCTGCTTCCCGCCCGGGAGAAAGTGGCAGAGCCCCCACCACCCGCGCCTCCGCACTTCTCAGAGACTTTCCCAAGTCTGCCGGGTAAGTGCTGGGGCTAACCAGGAAGCCGGGCGGGAGGCTCGTTACCTGGAAATACCAGACAGCAGCCTGCTCTGAATCTCGGCACTTGCCTGGAGCCCTGGAATCCCAGACCCCCAGATGGTGGGTTCTGCGGAACCACCTCCAGTTCCAAACACGGCACCTCTAAATCCCAGAATGGCAGCCCTGCTCTGTCTCGAGTGCTTGAAGCCTCACCGAACACTTCCGAATTAGTATCTTTCCTCCCTGCATTCTAGTCCTCAAGCCTTGGCTCTCCTGCGTCTTCTTTTCAGAATCCCTTCATTTTTCTCAGCTGCTGAGAACAGAGAAGCAGCAAGTGTGGGATTCCTGAGGACAGCAGCAAGACCCCAGGGTGAGGGGACATTGGGGTAGCTGTCAGATCAGCGAGGGGAGGGCAGTTTCTGGCTTCTGAGGAGAAGGTTGTATTGGCCCCAAATGGGCTCTGTGGGTGCAGGGGCAAAGGGATGGGCTTAAAGCAGTGGTGACCCTGTTGGTGACCTGTCTTCATCTTAGTAGCAGAGGTCACTTCTGAATTGGCAGATTTAGAGCTAAGCCATAAAGAACTGAGTAGTGGCCCTAAGGAAACCTTAGCTACCAGGAGACCTCGCACCTGCTGGACCAGGGCTGACTGGGAGGCTAAGAGAGAGGCTGGGCTGGGTTGGGTGTGGCCCAAAGGCCTGGAGTCAAGAATTCAGCTAAGATTCTGGAACCAGGAGATTCAGCTGAGAGCTAATGCAGGAACACTGGCTCCTCCATGGGAGGAGGATCCCCTCTCAATAGAGGCACGGTGTATTTAACAATCCTGTTTAGAATCAATCTGCTTAGAGCACTCCTAGCTTCCCTGTTTATTGATCCTTAACTCCTAGAAGCCAGAAAAGCTTCTCCCAGTCCAGGGGCAGATCCAGGTGTGCTGACATCCAAAGCTTATGCAATTTGGTGGGCCACATTTAAGAAAAATAAGGGCCACATGCAAGTGTGAGGTTCCTGAATCTTAAACTCCTTTAGCATCAGGATGGATCTGCCTCTGCTTAACTGTTCATCGCATCCAGCTTAGGGGTGGAAGTGACCCCAGGAGGCATGGGGGCTGACTCTAGTGGAGACCAGGAGGAGATTTAATAGTTTTCTTGTCCTTTGCCAGGAGAGAGGTATTCCTGATGATAGATTTCTGGGCCCTTTCTTGAAATTGACCAAAGGGCTAATCACTCTTCCAGACCCCAAGGGCTGCTATAGAGCCGGTCTTCCTCTCCTTTTCCCCTTTAGTCCCATGCATTTTAGCTTTGGGCATTCAGCTCTTGATTTTTTGTACCTGGTTGGACCAGGAGGATCTGGCCACTGAAGTCTGAGCAGCATCTCCTAAGGAGGATCAGAAGGAAATGATAGAGCAGCAACTGGAAAGTGGGAGGAAAAGTCCACGAGATAAAAGGGTCCAGAGTCGGGGGAAGGGAAGAGCAGATGGCAGGATGGTTGAAAGAAGAAAGGATCAGAGGGATTTTTGGAATAGGATAGTCCCAAGGCAGAAAAGAGAGTAAGGCAGGCTATCAGAGGGGGGGCTTTGGAGGCAATAGGAACGGAGGAAGAACCAGACACACCTGGGGAAGAGATAAGCTGAGGGGAGGAGAAAGGGAGACACCGGAGTGGGGGGGGACTGAAGTGGAATAGGCCCAAACCATGGGAGAACAAGCAGCTTTTCCTACTCTTTCAGATTTCCCTCAATTCTAATTTTGACCCATTTGTAAAATGGGGGCCCTTTTCTGAAGCATATGTAATATTGGCTGTAAAACCAGACATTGAGAGAGAGAAAGGAATAAGCAAAGGGAAAGAACAGAAGAGAAATACTGAGGAAGGGAGAATAAGGGAAAAGACCAGCAAATGAGCTATATACCCAGATTTCCAAAGAGAGAATATGAGAAAGGAGAGGACTGTCTCTTGGAAGAGAGATGTACAAGGGATTTGCAGCAGGGCTAAATGAAGAGGGAACAATATTTGAATCAGAAAGAGTTCTATCTTGAGAGGACTTGGATGGGAGCTAAATAAATATACAAGTAGGAAATGGGAAAGTTTCAACACTAGGAATAATTTTTTAAAGGCTTTTCAATACTGAGAAATGGGAAACTAGAATTTATATATAGAGAGAATGATGAAGGAAAGATCATCATCTGAGGAAAATATTGGAAGCAAAAAGAGACTTGTTCTTGGAGTAAAAACAAGGAATTTCTTTGCTAAGAATGATGGGAAGAGACCTTACAGAGGAAGAATTTTGAGAAGTGCTGGAGTGAAGGTAATCATTCATATTAGGAAGAGATACACATAAAAGGTCCACAGTGGGGCTTCTGGGGCAGAGCAGTAAGGAGAGGTTTCAGGAGAGACATTACAAGAAGATCATGTGTAAGAGATCTGATCTGTGACTGTTGCTACTCACCACTCTCAGTACAAACTCTGCCCACTCTCCTCACCATGCCATTCACGCCCACCTTCCTACTCTTGATTTTACCCCCTAAAGTAGTTGAGAAAAGAAAAGGCAATTCCAGAAATGTTGGACATCAAATCAGTTTGGGGACTGATGATGACACATGGCCCATGCTGAAAGTGGTAGGAAAACAAGTGCACCATTTTTAGAATTGTATTTGAGTATTTAACATGAAATAAGAGAGTTCTCTGCTTAAACTATGGGATTAAAACCTCAACATTAGAAGAGTTTGGAGAAAGAATGCTATCTTTAAAATGGCAGAGGAGGAGTTGCTTTCCTTAGTATGAATGGGAGATGTTGGTCTGAAATTATTAATTTACATTAGTGTTTTACAATTACTAGCCCCTTTAAATGGAATTATAGTGAAGATAGGCCAATTTAGAGAATGATGAGCGAAGTTTTTTGTCTTGGGAATTATAAGGACTTTAAAAAAAAATTGCTGAGAGTTGAGACAGATACCACCTTACTAGAATTGATGAAGAAGAAACTTTATTATGCTTTGATTGCATGGGTAGAAGCTCTATTAGTAGGCACAAAGAAATACTGTGTACAGAAATAATGGAGTAAAAAAGGAATTGCAAATGGTAGATTGAAAATAATTCTAGGTTTGGAATATGGGGAGCAGTGAGTATAATTGGGGAAGGTGTGATATAAGAGGAGATAATTTTTAATTAGTAGGGAAGATTTAAAAGTATGAATCAACAGAAAAGTCCAGAGTAGTTCTGTCTAGCAAGCCATTTATGTAATTAAAATTTTTTTATTAGCCACATTAGAAAGTAAAAAGAAATAGGCGAAATTAACTTTAATATTTTATTTAACCCAATATGTTCAAAATATTATTTCAGCATTAATCAATATAAAAATGTTTAATGAGGTGTTTTATATTCTCTTTTCATACTATGTGTTCAAAATCCAGTGTGTATTTTACACTTCCAGTACATCTCAATTCAGACTAGCCACGTTTCTGGTGGTCAGTAGCCTCATGTGGCCAGTGGAGACCATATTCACCATAACAGATCTAGAGAGTTGTAAGAACAGAGTCATGTGAAAGTGATAGGGGGAAGGAGCTTTGAATTGCAGTGAATAGTGAAGTCTTCCATGTAGGAACAATGGAGCGAAGAGAGCAGTTAGCTCTAAATGGCAGGAAAAAAGAATTCTGCTTTGCATGAGATGGGCAGAGATGATCTTGTGTGTAAAGGTGTGTGTGAGCTCAGGCTGAGAGAAATCAAGGCTAACTTGAAGATGTGGTGCACATCCCAGAGACGACAGGTGAGGAGGATGCTATGTGCTGGGGGAATGAAGAAAAGGAACTGTTCGTTTGGAGAAATGCAGAACACTTTAAATTGGGGGTGTCTAGAGCAATGGTTCATTCAGGGAGAAAAAGGTTGGATTGCCTGAAAACAAATACTTAAGTGAGGGATGATAGGTAATCCATATATAATTGGATATAGTGAGAAATTGATAGGAAAGATAATGTCAGTTGAGTATGGTGAGGAAAAGAAAACATTTGTAGTTGAGATGATATAGAGAAGAGAATGTGATGGGACAAACCTGAGAGAAGGCAGTGTAGTGAACATTATTTTTAAAAACTAAATAGAAAAAGATTTGCTAATTTCTGAATAGAGATTGGCAGTAATAATGGAAATCATGCCAGAAGACCAGGAAACTTCTAGGACGTTGATACTGTATTTGAGTGCTGATTGCTATAAGCAAAACACCTGATTGTAGATAGAGACTATTTTACATGACCATCAGTTAATTTCTGAATCAGTATCCATTATGACTGCCAAGATCTATTTACTCATAAGAGAAAAACAGGAAATGATAATGGGATGTGAAATCAGAGACCTCTGCTGATAGAAACAAGAGGGAGATTTTTCTTGGAAGTAATGGAGACCCAGAGTATATTTTCTTTGTTTTTTCTTTTTTAAATATGTTTTTATTGATTTCAGAGAGAGGAAGGGAGAGGGAGAGAGATAGAAACATCAATGATGAGAGAGTCATTGATTGGCTGTCTCCTGCACGCCTCCTGCTGGGGATCCAGCCTGCAACCCAGGTATGTGCCCTGACTGGAATCGAACCTCAATCTCTTAGATCCTAGGTCGATGCTCAACCACTGAGTCACGCTGGCTGGGCCAGAGTATATTTTCCTAAAAACTTTGAGGAAGAACAGTGAGACTAATTGTTCCACTGGCATTTATAGAAAGGCAAATATTGCATTAACTTAATGTGATTGAAGCAATATTTATTTGAATCGTGACACAGGGTTCAGGGTTCAGGTCACTCGTTAGCTGTGCAACTGTGGCAAGTTGCTTAGTTCAATTCAGGGAACATTTATTGTGTGTCTACTATGGGCTTAGTCTGTTCAAGACATAAGAGATTCAAACAAAGTCTTATAACTCCTCTAGGATTCAGTTTCCTCATCAGTAGCATAAAAGTTTTGGTTCAGATGATTTTTAGTATTCCTTTCAATTTCATAGAGTAAAACCTTATTTTTAAAGCTTCCATGTTTAAAGTAGGGGTCTTAATATGGACTTCATGGACCTCTTGTGAGAGAATCTGTTAATTTTGGGTGGGGGGAAAATTACATCTTTATTTTTATTAACTTCTACCTAAGATTTGGTACTTCCTTTAATTATAAATGTAGGTCAGAAACCATAGTAGTTTTAACAATACCTGAGATTTTTATTACCAATAGAAATCACAGGTATTTTCATAGAAATTTAGTCTTTGGAGGCATCTTTTTGTTTAATTAATTAATAAAGAAACATGATTATGTCACAAATTCACTTTAAGTATTTGATAACTATTTTTATATAATTGACTTCTAATGTAATCCTACGTGTTTTAAGTTAAACACCTAAACGCATTATTCCAAGGAGTTTATAGGCTTTATCAGACTTCATAGGAATTCATGGCACAAAAACAGTTAAGAACCCCTGATTGAGAGAGAGAGATCTCAGAGATGACAAGAGGGAAATTTTATTAGGATTGGAATGGGATACTGGGATGCCTTGTACCATGGTGAAAATAACCCTTGGGAGGGAGGGATGAGAGGAGAGATCTCTGCAGTGGCATATGTAAATATGGCGATATATATAATAAATGATTAGGAGGATAATTCTTAGAGTCATGGGCAAGAAGAGTCTATACTGGGAATAATGGGAAAGAGGCCATAATTGGAATATGTTTTTAGAGAGAGGAAGGGGGAGAGAGAAACATGCCTTGTGTACCCACCTGACTGAAGATTGAAACCAAAACCTAGGTATGTGCCCTGACCGGATAATCCAACCCACAACCTTTTGGTATATGGGACAACGCTCCAATCGACTGAGCCACCAGGACAGGGCAAATATTTAATTGGAAAGAAGGAAGAGCATAGTATGAGCAGTGCTTTGCATTAAGAGAGGGAAGGCAGGGGTGGAGAGTGGATGGGGAGAGATTATGGGGGGGGGATCAGTGGGGGGAATAAAGGGGACATCTGTAATACTTACAACAATAAAGATAAATTTATTTAAAAAAAGAGTAATGTTACAGTGGGAAGCTATAGGGAAGTATTTTGCCTTGGAAGTAATGGGGAAAGAAGGATCTTTGTGGTGAAACTGATTGGAAAGGTGAGAAGTAATGGAGTAGATGTACAAAAGACACACTTAAATAGGGATGATGAGAAGGAGCGTTTGGTGGGAGAGAACTTTTATCCAGAGGGAATGGGAGATGCCTTGTGCTGAGGCCCGAGAGAAGGCAGGCACATCCAAACCAGCTGAAAGG